ACAGTTCCGAATTTCAAGGAGCTATATGACAGCAGCTTTGTCTGCCTTCATTGTCATATGCAAGTGTGTCCAGGTCAGTTGGGAAGGAAGTCACATTACATTTATTTAGCTACTATTTATTGAGTACCTGTGTTCTCAGCTTTGGGCTAGGCACTGTCTTTGCTCTCTGTAACACAAATCTGCAGGGCCAGTATATATATTTAAGGTGTATTTGTCAACAAATGTTTGTATATGATTTTTTATAAAGAGTGACGACCACTCTGTGTGGCAGAGAAGCCATTCAATAGACTCATGTGACAAAGGAGGAAACTCAGACTCTGAAGAAAATAAGTGGAAACTAATACAGCACTAGTTTTGATCTGAGCCTAGGCCTCCAGAGTGAGTTCCTGCAAGGCTACTGCCTTAAAAACCACATAGCCAGTGCCTTCCTCCCCGCAGTCTATCAAAATGATGCTCCTGGTCATTGCTGATTTCTGAGGTGTGTCCTAAGAGAATTGGTAATTGCTCTTGTAATTGAAAGGGTCTATTCTCAACCCACACCCTTGTTTATGTTAGTTCTTGAGACTTGGTAAGTCGGCCAGCACTGGGTTTTCTGCTGTCGGTGAAGTGTTTGACCACAAAGCAAGCATGGCGGCTTTATGTACTCTAAAGGATTTAAATGCTCAAGTCTGCATTATTTTGTGGGACTTGACAGTCATCTTTTACTTCACTAGCAGTAAAGCCATGTTATTTGGATAGAACAGTTATTTGAAGCCTCTTTTGGATACTGTGTTGCTGTTGTTTTTAAAGAATCTGCTGAAATCCAAGGAATCACTCAATGAGAATAACCTCAGACTCTTAATAGACCCTGCTTCAGATTATCTAGCACAGAGTTTTACCTCTTCAAAGTACTATATACACTTCCATTAGCTGAAACCTTAGTAGGTGTTTAAATCGCATTATATGGCAAATTTTTTCCCACCGGTATTAGTTGTAGTTGGGTATATTCCTGTATTTCTCCTTACAGATATATGGATATGGAATATGGAGTAAAATATTTTTCTGTCCTAAGAGTAAGGTTACTGATTTGTATACTTTTTTCTATTTGGTTTCTAATGCTTATTAATAAACATTTGCTATCTTTGGGATGGTTTAGATTTACTAAGTATTCAGTAATTGAAAATATTATCAGATCTGTCACGCAATTCTCCTTCAATACTTACAGTAGCTTTATGGCGGGTAAGTAGTAGTATTCCCACATTACAGATGAGGAAACTGGAGGTTGAGCAGTTAAGCGACCTACCTAAGAGAACCTAAAAACTAGTAATAGGTCAAGATTATAACCCAGGTTTGCCTCCTTCCTCTGTCCATGGTTATTTAAAAAAATGTGTATCTGCCTTGATCCTGGCAAAGTTTACCTTAAATATTAAAACACCAACCAAAGCAAAACCATATACACTCAAGCATAACCATATACACTCAAGCATAACCTTAAAGGAAATTCAGATGAAAGAGAAAACATACCTAACATCTGCTAATCTGACAACTCAAACTAGCACTTTTATCAGTAAGACTCTTTTCAGCTAAGTATTAAATAGATACCCTGGCAGGATGAGGGGAGAGAAAACTGCTGTGAAAGAAGGAACAGAAAAGTTCAGGGAGGAAGCTCATAGCAGGATAAGCATATCTACTCGAGTGTTGGACCCAAACCTGATTGGCCCCGGCTTTGGCCCAGAGGTTTCTTCTGTGCTCATCTGTTACAGATTAATCCTGTGGTTAAAACCCCACGGACTCAGGGGCGCCTGGGTGGCTCAGTGGGTTAAAGCCTCTGCCTTCGGCTCAGGCTTGATCTCAGGGTCCTGGGATTGAGCCCCACATCGGGCTCTCTGCTCAGTAGGGAGCCTGCTTCCCCCTCTCACTGCCTACTTGTGAACTCTGTCAAATAAATAAATAAAATCTTAAAAAAAACACAAAAAACCCACGGACCCTAGGTGAGTTCTTTTTTTGTTTGGCCGCAGAGAGGCTTTGAACCTGTGACATCCATCTCATGTTTGCGTTGAGCACTGGGGGTTGTGGGAGAGAGCCTAGGAGCTGGGAATGAATGAGTCTGAACTTGGAGCAAAGGGACTGGAAAAATATAAAAAACTGAAGAAAAGAAGAAAGGCAATGTAGGGCCATGTTGAGCTCTTGGCAGCAACTCCTGAAACAGGAAAAAAGGGGAGGAGAAGAGCTGAGTTATCTTGGAGGCCAAGCTATGTGTCATGATTGCCTGAACTAGCCTTACTGAATGGGGATGGTAGACTTTAGTGATGTCTTTGAAGAGCTAGTGCACTTCTGCTTTCTGTTACCAATCCAAAGAGAAGTTTACCAGCATAACTGAAATTATTTATTGCTGTTCCTTCTTTTTAAGGTATATTTACATAATTATTATGAGTAATTGGACTTCAGGGTAGAAAATTGCTATTTAGTGATTTCAGGATTCACAAGTGTAGAAATCCCATTTTTTAAATGATTAAGGAAAATCGTTAGACTTGAGATTTTTAGTTTATAGCAACATTAAAACCTTGTGCTCTAAATGCAGAATTAAAAAGGCAGAATATTATGCAAGTATGACTTTCTGAGGGTGAGCTAAATTACATGTTACCAAGGTTCTTAGGGACAGGGATCTAGCTAGTATAGAGTGAATGAATTTGGCACTGGAAATACTACTTAATAATATGATGCCTGCCTTGATGTGTTCTGTTGCTCCGAGCAAGTTGTGTGGGTTGTTATCTCCTGAGAAATCCCTGTAAATGGTATTATTAACACTTTATAAGTAGGTTGGGAGAATTCATTTATTTTTCTAAACCATTTTTAATTCTTGGATGAAAGGCTCTATATAGAGCAAATGAAAGGCTCTATATAGAGCAAATTTTCTCCTGTCTCCTCTGAGACAGGAGAAAATAGGCACCTTAGGGTGGGAAGGTTGGTTTACTTTTTGGAATTCTTTTATAAATTGCTTTTATTGAATTTGAAAAGGATATCAGAAGCTCCCAAGAATATGGTGAACTATAAAAGGAAATGTTTTTTGTTTTTGGAACTCGGAATTAGCTGGGTGTTTTCATCTAAGATTTAAAACATACTTAAATAGTTTAAATGGTCAAACTTGGGGAGGAAAATATGGTCCTGTGGTGATCCTGGGGCCCACTTTTGTTTTTCTTTTCTCTTGCTTCTTCTTTATTTCAGAGAAGAGTTAAAGTTGACTTTCTGAAAAGCATTAAACTTTTATTTTCAGTGTGTTGGATCTACTTTTTTCCCCACTAATCTGTGAAATCAACCTTTTGTGCCAAATAACTTGCAGTAGGTGCTGGAACAAAGTTTCTCATGTATATTCATTTATATATTGCAGTGTGTGTATTCAAATGTATCCTTGTGAAAACAGCTTTGCTTTGAAGATTTAAGACCAGATTCTTGATTCAGAGAGGTTCAGTCTGATACAGCAGGATAATATATATGCATGAATAACCATAATGCCTGGTGTTTTTGGAAAATAAATGTTTTTTTCCTCCGAATTTTACCTCTATTTAAAATTATGATGGGGGCCCCTGGGTTGGCTCAGTCATTTGAGCTTCCAGCTCTTGAGTTGGGCTCAGGTTGTGATCTCAGCCTTGTGGGATGGAGCCCTGCATGGGGCTCAGTGTGGAGTCTGGTTGTCCCTCTCCCTCTGCTCCTCTCTCTCTCTCAAATAAATAAATAATCTTAAAAAAAAAATTGTGGTAGGTGAAGAATAATATAAAAAGTTTAGAGAAATTGAATACTAGATTGTGCTGTACATGCATTTGTAAGAAACTTTCTGCTAAAGACAAGGAAAAATGAACTAGTTTAGATTCATAAGAAGGAATATAGGGCTAATTTACTTCCTGGTGCCTTGAAACCCAGGTTGACAGGTACAGTGTGGTGTTCTGGCTGTGGTGTCCTCTGCCCTATTAAAGGGGCACCTGTTGAGGTGAAAAGCTTGTGCGTTGAGAGTGCACTTTTTTTGTTTTCTTTAAAAACAAAATGTATTTCTTATTGTTACATATACTTTGCTGCTTGTGAGACTGATGAGCTAAGCCCTTTGTTCCAACTGTACTGAATTTCCAGTGAACTAGTGGGTGTATTTTCCAGTGTAGTCACTTGATTCACACCATTTGCTTTCATATCTTTATATCAGATTGCTTTTAAAATCTTCGTAGCTTTAATCACCTTTCAGGGTTCAGATTTATCTCCATTGGGAGATTGTGGCCTTTACCCTTTGGCAGGTTTCCAGATAAACTGCTCTTTTGCAGAGCCTGAACCCACTTTATTCTTCCACCCTTGGGTGGTGGAGAACCGAGGTCACTTGGGTAATGCCGGACAGTCCCCCACCTTTGCCCCTGGGCTGACTCAGACGCTCACTTGCCCGGCGTCTGCCTCCTCTCTTGGCTGGAAGGGGTCTGGCTTTTGAGGGCCCGGAAGGTATTTATTTACTAATGTGCATTTGTATAATGAATGTATTCCAGACAGCAGCTTGCAATTGAGCGCTGAGAATACGGCCTATTTGTGGTGGACGTTCTACAACTCCTGATTTTTGGCTTAATAGGCAGTTTACAACATAGCCAGACTTAGTTTTCAAAAAGACAGAAACCTAGAGACCCTACCTTTTAATCTTAGTAAGAACGAAAAACCTAGATTGGCCTAACTGCATTATGTGACAGCAAATGTTTTAAAGTGCAGAACCTTTAGCGCCTAACCCACCTCCCCCCATAGAGTTTTTGCGTAAGATTTTCTGGGCGTTTCTTTGAAAGCTAGAGAACACTGTCAGTAATTGCTAAAATAATGGCTATCGCTTGAGCAGGTATTACTCCAGCGTGGAGAGGGGGCCCATTATTGCGCGCATTCTGTGCGCCGCAGCGAGCTGGTTGCCAACGCGCTGGGTCTGGGCTCCGCGGGGCGGGGCCTCTGGGAGGCGGAGCGAGCTGGGGCGGGGCCTCCGGGCCGTCGCCAGTGCGCATGGGCCGACATCCTCCGCTCTGATAAACCCCCTTCAGTTTCCGCTGTTGTCGGAAAAACGTTGTGAAGGCCGTTAGCAGAGTGTCCCCTGAGAGCGCCGGTCGCGGAAATGTCTGATGAGAAAGGTTCCCTCGGGGGAGGTGTAGAGAAAGGAGAGGAGCCCGTGGGGACCATCGCTGCTAGTGCGTACTCTGTGAAGCAGGCGGATGATGGGGAGGAGCCGATGAAGGTGGGAGTGGCGGTGGGGGCTGGTGGCTGCTCTGACGACCTCAGCTATGGGGAGGCCAACATAGACCCCAGCCTCCTAGGGCTTGCGGGTGACGAGGAGAAATGCCGGAAAATCCGCAGGAAGTACCGGCAGCTCATCTATAACATCCAGCAGAACCGTGATGACCTAGTGAACACCGTGAGCGACTCGTTAACCGAGGCGCTCCAAGAAGCCGATGTCCTGTTTGATGGAGTGAGCCGAACAAGAGAAGCCGCTCTCGATGCCCAGTTTCTTGTTCTGGCTTCTGATTTGGGTAAAGAAAAAGCAAAGCAACTAAATTGCGATATGAGCTTTTTTAACCAAGTAGCGTTTTGTGACTTTCTGTTTATATTTGTGGGTCTAAACTGGATGGAAGATGAACGTGAGGAATTGAGTGGCTTTGATGATAATATAGTTCTTTCCTTCTGGGACACAGTACAGAAGGAGGCATCGTCCTGGATTTTGCAAGCTGAGACATTCCACTTTATTTTTGGTTCATTCAAGTCCAAAGCTGCACCAAGGCCCCGACTTGAACACCACAAAAAAGCTCTCAAAATGGAAGAAAATGGGGATATGCCTACAAAGCTGAGGAAGTTGGACCTGAGTAATAATCAAGAAACAACAGAAAAAGAAGTAGAAAGAATCTTGGGATTGTTGCAAACTTACTTTCGGAAGTATCCTGATACTCCTGTGTCCTATTTTGAGTTTGTGATTGATCCAAACTCTTTTTCTCGTACTGTGGAGAATATATTTTATGTTTCTTTCATTATAAGGGATGGTTTTGCGAGACTAAGGCTTGACCAAGACAGGCTGCCCATATTAGAGCCAATTAATATTAACCAAGTGGGTGAGGGAAATGATCCCTGTTCTCATGGCAGGAAACAAGGAGTTATATCTTTGAGTTTACAGGACTGGAAAAATATTGTGGCAACTTTTGAAATTTCAGAGGCTATGATCACAAACTCCTACTAGGAATTTTCTTCATGTAGGATGCATTTTGTGGCTTTTCTACAGTATCTCAAAATGGAGAGTAAAATAAAGCAGAAGCACATAACTATTTCATGTAAAGTGAGAAAGTATTTTCAAAAACGCCAGAAATTGTTTTACTGTGCAGTGTATTTTTTTTTTTTGGTAGTTTATAAGGTTGTCATGATTTTATGTTATTAAAAAATTACTCACTGGCATGTTTGCAGGAAGATTTTTTTTAAATGCCCTTTAAGACTTTATCAATAAAAATTAGCTCTGGAATTCATAAGAGGTATTTGATAATTTACCAAAAAATCAATTTTATGATGCTATTTGATACTGCATTGCTTCCTCTGTTAGAGGGAACTTGTATGGGGCACCTGACAAGGTTGGGGGAAGAGTGGGGGGAAAAAGTAGTCAAGAAAGACTATCCATAGGGCAGTGAATAAGCAATGATAATATGTAAAAAAATCTAGATGTCATGCTTCATTTCAAGGAGGACTCAGTAAGATTAATGAGTGAGATCCATAAGCTAAATAATTTCTCCTGTGATTAGCCTTATCTACTGTAGAGACATTCTACTTTTGTTAGGTGAGGTGTCAATTAAGTGCGTGCTGAAAGGTGAGTAGGGATTGGTCAAAAAAGAAAGATATTCTAGGCAGGGGAATACGGAGGTCAAATACATGGAATTGTGAAAAATTATGGCACCAGAGATTCATGAGTTGTTTCTTTTTGTTTTTAAACTATTCTATTTGAAGGGCCCCGGGGTGGCTCAGTGGGTTGAGCCTCTGCCTTCGGCTCAGGTCACGATCCCAGGGTCCTGGAATCGAGCCCCACATCGGGCTCTCTGCTCAGCGGGGAGCCTGCTTCGCCCCTCTCTCTTTGCCTGCTGCTCTGCCTACTTGTGATCTCTCTCTCTCTGTCAAATAAATAAATAAAATCTTAAAAAAAATAAACTATTCCATTTGAATGCTAAACTGGGCGACAGTTGGGTTACCTTATATATTAGTTTCCTCAGAAGTTGAAGATATTTTTGTCAGATTATTTCAAACACAAAACCAGTTCTAGTCTTTATCTACATGGTTAATTTCTTCCCTAGCCTCTGGTTTCCAAACACTTTGTAATCTCTGCTAGTGACCTTCAGAATCAGTGGTGTTTCATTATGTAACACCCTTGAATATTCCCAGTTCAATTTTGTGTTTCTTGTTAGGGCTTTAAATGCCTGGAAATGATCTCTCTCTATACTGAAGTATATAATTAATTTACCTAAATGTTCTTTACTTAACCATAAAAGCTCTTTTCTTTTTTCTTTTTGTTGCTTGCAGTTGTTTTAAGGTTATGCCAAAATTTTGGGTCTTTAAGAAAACAAGTTTGAAGGTATAGAGCATGCCTAAATAAACTTTTCTTTCTTTTTTTTTTTTTTTTTCAATAGGCTCCATGTCCTACGTGGGGCTCGAACTCAGGACTCAGAGATCTAGAGTCGCATGTTCTACTGACTGTGCAGCCAGTCAGGTGCCTGAAGGCTACTTTTCTTGATCTCTATAGGAACTTAATCTTTGATAATAGTGGATTTTGCTATTAGGCATGATTTGGGAAATGGATAAGTATCTGTTTTGCATAGAAGTAACAATAAACCTTCCTAAGTCTAGCGTGGTATAGCAAAGGGAAGTCCAAAGACTAAATAAATGACGTCAAGATTGACAGGAGCAATTTTAATGTATGTGTGCACAAGTTTCTTAGTAATAGTTGAGGGTTTTAGCTGAAATAGGTATTTCTCATAAAGTTGTTCAGTTGTTTTCTGAAGGAGCCATTCCTTCCCTTTTTTCATGTGAAAGAATGCTAACCCTCCTGGTGTCTACCACCCTTTGATTTATTTAGCAGTCATGGGAGTATCATTTGGTCTTGCTGATCCTCACTTGAGCCTGTCTTTCCCAACCAAGTTCCTTGGGTTTTCCAGAGCTTTGCTATTAGAGGAAGATTCTCTGTTAGTAGCAACAGTATCCTGCCCCCCCCCCTTCTTTAAACTCTTCTCCAGGTTCCTCCTCGGTTAAGTGCCTGTCTCTTTACTGAGAGTATTGGAGACTTGACTAAAACCATTAATAGAGCATATAGAGGTTTAGGGGGAAGGTAGTTTTGGGGGCCTTCTCTGAAGTTGTAGCTTTTAAAAAATATATATTTTTTAAAGATTTTATTTATTTATTTGACAGAGAGAGACACTGAGAGAGGGAACACACAAGCAAGGGGAGTGGGAGAGGGAGAAGCAGGCTTCCCTCTGAGCAGGGAGCCCAACGTGGGGCTTGATCCCAGGACCCTGGGATCATAACCTGAGCCAAAGGCAGATGCTTAATTAACATCTGAGCCACCCAGGCGCCCCAGCTTTTTAAAATTTTTTTTAAAAGATTTTTATTTATTTGAGAGAGAGAGAATGAGAGAGAACAAGCAGGGAGAAGGGGCAGAGGGGGGAGGGAGAAGCAGATTCCCTTCTCATGACTTCCTCATGCTTTTGCCTTTGTTTGGGGAACTCCATTACCAAGTGATTGGAATCTTGGAATCTTGGAATGGGCACTTGTTAATTTACTCAGCAATTGCTTGAGGGCTTACTGTGCAGACACTGCTCTAGGCACTGGGAAGAAAGTGGTGGACAGAAAATTGACCATCTCTCATGGGATTTATATTTCAGTGTGTGTATTGGTTTCCTTTTGCTACTGTAACAAATTACCAAACTTTTGGTGGCTTTGAAACAACAGAAACGTATTCTCTGATAGCTCTAGAGGTTAAAAATCTCAAATCTGTTTATCTGGGCTGTAAGTCAAGGTGTCAGTAGGGCTGGTTCTGCAGAGGCTGAGGGCAGAATCTGTTTCCTTGCCTGGTTCAGTTTTTGGAGACCACCTATAATTCCTCCATTGTTAAAGATACCAGTGCAGCCTCTTAAGTCTGTCCTCGTGGTTGCGGTTGCGACTGTAATGAAGTCTCCTCTGCCTGCCTTGTATAATGTGTTGATGGAGTGGGGAGGGACAAAAGGAGAATGTTGTTTGGGAACTTGAGGGAGACCTAATGGAAGAAACGGGCATTGTGTTGGAGTCTTAGAATGTTGGTAAAAGAACCTCCACCTCCAGCCCTGAAGGACTACTTTGGAAAGGATAATGTGTTTGTGTACACTGAATAAAAATAATTTAACCTTGTGGTTTATGTAATCTATCAGGATTTGATGGGAAGAGGGCATTTCAGGGGAGAGATGTGGTGCAGGGAGGTGTGGGGGAATCTGCTGGACTCTGCCGGAGCCTTTGGACCCTGCAGGTTCCCTTCTTTAGGAAGGGGAGAGTTAGTAACCTAAACAGGTTTTTCCTACTAGCCACTGGGCTGATAGTCATCATTTCACTTAAATCCTGCAGGTTGGTGAAGTACAAGGGTATGTTAACTTCATTTTACAAAATGAAAAAGCAGACTCCTAGGGGTTAGGTGATCAGCCCACATCACCTAGCTTAGAGAGTGGTAGAGCACATATATTAACCCAGCTCAGTTAACACCAGAGCTGATGTGTAATGGTAAAAACTAGTACATTTGGATAAGATTCATGTTTGGGGGGAAGGAAACATAAAGATTATTCTAATTTTAAAGAAATCTGGTACACTAGAATTACTTTCTGTGTTGTGCCTTTTCAAAGGTGAGTCTGCAGCAGTGTTTCGCTAGGGGTGGAGTGGGGGAGAGGCGTTCCTGAGAGAGACAAATGGAAGAAATGGAAGAATATCCAGTGTCTAAGGCTGGCAGACACCTGCAGGTGTAACGTGTTGTGTAATTACACTTAAGTCCTAAAGCAGTGGTTCTCAAAAGTGCGATCTGCATTCTTCTGGGGCCTCCTGAGGCCCTAAGAGGAAGGCCTTGATGTCAGGATTATTTCTATACTACTAAGATGCTTTTTTGTTGGGGCGCCTGGGTGGCTCAGTGGTTTAAGCCTCTGCCTTTGGCTCGAGTCATGATCTCAGGGTCCTGGGATCGAGCCCCACATCGGGCTCTCTGCTCAGTGGGGAGCCTGCATCCCCCCCACCCCCCCCTGCCGCTCTGCCTGCTTGTCTCTCTCTCTCTGTCAAATTAATAAATAAAATCTTTTAAAAAAAGATGCTTTTTTGTTATAATACTATTATAATATTTGTTGTAATACTACTGTTATAATACTACTATACCTGTTTTGTTATAATACTACTAAGATGCTTTTTTGTTTTGTTACAACTCTTTTGCAAGTCTACCATGGAATTTTCCAGACAGGTGATGTTGTAATAGACTGAATGCAGAAAAGACAGGAGCGGTGTTCTATTAAGACAGACATTAAAGAGAATTACAAAGATATAAAATGCCACTCTTCCCACTAATTAAAAGATTATTGTTTATGTTATGTTGAACAGTAATACTTAGGGTTTTTAATATTGTAATAATTTAAAATATTTTAATATTAAAATTTCTTTCTTAGTTTTAATTTCTAATATACTGAAATTTATAAATAAGCCTCACATTAACCAAAGCTTTTTGGGGTGCTAAATAATTCAAGGTTTGAAAGGGATCCTGAGACTAAAAAGTTTAAGAATTCCTGTTCTTTGTCAGCTACTACAGTTGGTGGTCACTATTTCTAACACTCATAATTGGAGGAAAATAGGGGACATTTTTCTCCTCCTCTCCTTACCCATCTGTACACACCTGGGGGAGCTGTTTTCTACAATCCGTCTTACATATATATTTCAGGTGGGAAACCACTTAACTTGGACCTTATTGACAGAATTTCAGTTTTAAGTTGGATTACAATTTTAAAACACCATGTTTAGTTCTGGGGTCAGTGGAATGCTTTAGTTTCCTGTATCTTACTGATTTTACTTTATGAAGTTCAGGCTCACTCAGCTTTCTTTGTAAAATCTGTACACTGGTTGATACAGTTTTACTTCCAGCATGAACTGTAAGAATCCGGTATGATCCAGAATTTCAGTACAGAACAGATTACACATTGGTAGAGGGAGTATGTGGCTTTTCAGCATGACAGTGCATTTTCTTTCTTCTAGTAGATATATTAAGGGGGTGGTTATGAAATGGGTGGTTTCCATTTAGACAGCCAATGACTCTGTTCTGGCACTGGCTGTGTCAAGTACTTGTAGATAAAATTGAGGCTGAGATTAAAAATGGTCATGTTATTTTTCCAGAAGAACATCTAGCTGCGCTTATTAGTTAATTCTTTTAAGGCAGCAAGTCAGCCTATGCTCTTTGAGAGCAACTAGGGAGTAATGCTTGTTATCTGA